TCAGTCTCCCACTTGATGGTGATCTTGCACGGCCTCCATCACTGCCAAAAGAAGCCAAGAGAGCAAGGGCTCTTGCAGATAATCATGAGAGAGACTATCAGGCTAGCAATGCTGTACATTGGCAGGCAGCTACAGGAAAGACTTCAAGATCAGTGGACAAATTGGTGAGGCAAGTCAAAAAGAGAAACTCTTTTAGTCTAGAACACCAAATTGAAAATAGACTAAGAAAAGGATATCCTGAACTAGAAATTGTAGAGGCTGTAATTTGTGCTGTAGTCCTGGAGTAAAACTGAGGAGCTATTTAGAGGGAAAAACAGATCTAAATCTGCAGACCCTTAGGCAGGTCTTAAGAGCTAACTATGCAGAAGAAGATGCAACCAACTGTTACCAGCAACTAGCAAAGGCTGTGCAGGGACCTAGTGAAACAGCACCTGATTTCCTTGTCTGAGTATTAGGTCTAGGCCAAAAGGTGCTGTTTGCATCTGAACGTGCACAGTCTGGCATAAAATACAACAGAGGATTGGTGCAGAGCCAATGTTTTCAGTCTATAATCACAGATCTGCCCAATGACGACATAAGAGCAGAAATGAGAGTATATCTGCAGAATGTGGACAGTACTGATGAAATGCTGCTGGAAAAAATGCAAAATCGCACAATGCAATGAAAATGAGTGAGTACTGAATACAAAAGCTTCTACACGAACTTCACATAGAGTGGGGCTCAATTTGGTTGAGACACTTGAAAATACATATGCTTCCTTACAGTCAGTGTCAGTCTAGGTTCCTAAGCAAGTGAAAGTGAATCCTTTGTTTTCTAAGTTTGAAGAGAGCAGTGAAGCTATTAGAGAGCTTACAGGCCTTATAGCATTTTTAATGCAAATAATTCAGAGAGAGAGCACCAACACATCGTTGAATCAAAATTCACCCCAGGAAGACACAGGAGACAAAGGAGGTGATGCGAACAATGCCATCAGGACAATACACTTACCTGTAATTATTGTTTCAAGTGTGGGAGTGATATTCACTGGTCAAAGGGGCGCAGAGCAGGGAACACTGGAGGCTCTTTGGGAAACGGACAGTGGTCATGACTACAGGACAAGTCATGACTTCCCCAAAAACAGTGTTCCTCTGCAATGTAGACTAACCAGGAAAGACCACACAGTCCCAGCCAAACCATGGCAGGCCTGAAAAATTTACCCTCACCGATCATAATCTTTTTCCACAACAGCAAGAATCAAAACTCATCAATGCCAGCTCCAATTTGAAGAACCCACTATCCAAACATAAAGGCGTTGCTCAGCTAATTGGTAAAAAATAATATAATATGGTGTTTGTCAAACAAAGTTAAAACTACTGCTTTGTGGGATACGGGAGCACAGGTGTCCATTGTGAGTGAGGATTGGAAGTCTTGCCACATGTAAAAAAGTATTTAGCTCTTAAGTGGGCAATCACGGAATGATTTAGGGATTATTTGTTTTACGCACCAACAGTGACAGTTTATAGTGACAATAATCCACTTTTTGACAACTGTCAAAACATAGGACAATAATCCAATGTTTTGACGACTGCAAAGTTGAATGTGACTGCCCACTGCTGGGTGCCTGAGATAACAGAACATAACCCTGAAGTATCATCCTAGGAAAGTAAACACAGATGCAGACTTCTTGTCCTGTACACCACAGAATATGGAAGAAAACGTGAAGGAGTGCACGCAGCAGTCTTCCCCTGAAGTGATTAGCACAATTGTCAGTGCAGTTGAACCACATAGCAAATATAATGTGGACTGGATTTCACCCATGACATGGAACCCTGCTGTTACAGAAGTACTACCAAATCAAGATGACAGTACAGAAAGGACTGTGTTCCTACAAGAAATAAAACAAGCAGGCCCAGCCATTTCTTGGGTGTTACATCTCAAAAGGAGCAATGAAAAACCAGACAGAAAACACTGACTCAAGAACCAGCACAAGTAAGGCAGCTGCTAAACCAGTGGGAAAAGTTGCAGGTATCAGAGAAGGCCTGCTGCAGCGCAAAACAGCAAACTGTACCCAAATAGTGCTCCTGAAAAGTTGTTTATCAACATCTACATTCGGAGATGGGTTACTTGGGGGTAAAGTGAGTCTTGAATCTCAGTAGGTGGTCTGATTGCCTTGGAATACAAATCAATGAGGATCTCTCAAAGACTTTCAGTACATCCCACCTCATTAAAAAGTAATAATTCTTGTACTATCTGAGGAGCTAGAAAACTCCATGTAAATCATTAAGCACATCCCCTTCCACCTCCTGAAAATGTTCAGTGTTCAAAATTTTATATCATATTAATTCAATTGGGCTTTTTCATTTTTTCATTTTTTTTTGTTCTTCCCGCACTGCTCAAGGAGGCTGCCTGTTCAGGTAGCTCTGTGTCTGTGTGTTCTGTTTCTTTTGTTTGTGTCTTTTTACCCATTTTCTTTATTTTCTTGATAATGAGGCCTGTTCTAAAGTTGAAGTTATTTTTAAAAACTTTCATTGACTTTTTAATGGAACATTCAACGGAACTTTCAGACTACGACTGTGCTGCATGTCCTCGCTTTGTCTTCACGAGGAATCAGCTGATCGTGCTGACGAAGCCGATGGCTTTGTTTACATTGCAGCGGCCAGTGATTCCAGCAGAGCTGAGATGTCCTTACTGGGGCTGATGCTATCCCAACAACAAACCCTGGGTCACCAGTGACTTAAAGTCACTGAACCAGAATAAAAGCATTTATGGCAGGAGACAGGGAGGAAATGAAGAGGGTACAAAAAGAGTTTAAAACCTCAATTAAGAAGGCCAAAGAGGAGTACAAGTCCAAGCTGTAAAACAAACTAGAGCTGAGCAACACTTGTGATGTCTGGAGATGCCTAAAACACATCACTAGCTTCAACCAATTCCAGAAGAGGGTAAGCATGAATGGACGAATGAGTTAAACCAATTCTTTGTGCGGTTTGACAATGGCTCCTCTCCTGCTCCATTGCATCTGTCTCCTACGCAGATTAACACACCCACACAACTATGCCATGGGCTATCCACAGCCTCTCCTTCCGCCACCACAGCCATTCACACCTGTGACCATCAGCAACCACTGACTTCAATGGCTGCCTCTCAGCCACCCCCCAAAATTGGAATGTCCAGTGATAGTACATTCACTGCTAATCATGTGAAGAAGGAACTGACAAAACAGAGCAAAGACAGCAAAGCAGTGGGACCTGATGGCATTGAACCTAGGGTGCTGAAACTGTGTGCAGAGCAGCTGTGTGGAATTCTTCAGCATCTTTAATCTGAGCTGCAGCCTGAAGAGAGTCCCAGTTATGTGGAAAACATCTTGTGTGGTTCCTCTCCCCAAGAAAAGGCAACCGATAGCACTGAATGACAATCAACCTGTTGCACGGACATCTCACTTAATGAAGACACTTGAAAGGCTGATGCTAGCTCATTTGAGACCTTTGGTCAGAACAGCTCTCTATCCTCTGCAGTTTACATATCAGGATGGCATTGGAGTGGATGATGCAGTTATCTACCTGGACAGAATGTACTCTCACCTGGACACATCAGGCAACACTGTGAGGATCATGTTCTTCAATTTCTTCAGTGCATTCAACACCATACAGCCTGTGCTGTTAGGGTAGAAGCTACGGCTGATGAAGGTGCATGAATCTATCAACTTATGGATAATGGACTATCTGACTGGATGACCTCAGTATGTGCGACTGCAGAGCTGTGTCTCAGATAAGGCTGTGTGCAGTGTTGGGGCACCCTAGGGGACTGTGTTAGCTCCATTCCTGTTCAACCTGTACACCTCTGACTTCAGGTACAACACAGAGTCGTGTCATCTGCAGAAATTCTCAGACGGCACGGCCATTGTGGTCTGCATGGGGAACGGACAGGAGGAGAAATACAGGAAGCTGGTGAAGGACTTTGTTGACTGGTGTAAGCTGAACCAGCTGCAGCTAAACATCAGTAAGACTAAGGAGATGGTACTGGACTTAAGGAAGTCCAAACCTGCCTTGTCACCAGTCACCATTGATGGAGTTGATGTGGAGGTGATGGGGGCATACAAGTATCTGCATGTGCACTTGGACAACAAGTTGGACTGGAGGTGTAACACTCTCATGGTGTACAAGAGAGGCCAAAGCCATCTATAGCCATCTTTTGGTGCACTAAGGTTCTATGGACATGCTACACTGGATAAAGAGAGAAGCTAATTCAGTGCAGACTGTTACAGCTGTAATGTGTTGAAGAGCGCCATGTGAGATCTTTCTTACCCTCTGCTGTAAGGATCGAGTCTCCTTACTGCAGAGATCTTCAGATCAATAAAAATCTATCTATCTATCTATCTATCTATCTATCTATCTATCTATCTATCTACAGTATCTATCTATTTCATAAATTGTTTTTACTTTTCACAAAATATACAAATACTTAAACATTTAGATTTCCTGGGTAAAGTTTCACTGTAACTGATAACACAATAGTAGTGTGCTGATCTAATATCTGTTCAGTCACTAAAATGTATCCACTATGCTCTTACAAAAGTTCCAGAGTGGACTTTATGAAGTTAGCTATTTAAAGCATTTCTTGCATGTTCTAGGCTAAATAGTGGAGATTTATGGAGAAAAATTATACCTACTGCTGTTAGATCAAGTATGGGGTCAATGTCAAATGGGTTTGCATGATCATATATAACAAGTTATGTTCACGATGTGCTAGGGCCGCAAAGATCAACACAACACTGTGATAATAGCATGCTGATCGATGTTGGGATGTTGGTGTGTGTGTCATGTCATTACAAAATTCTGCCACCTTAATTTTTTAGACATAAATGCATATCCTGCTTGTAGCAATAAAACTGCCCTGCTCAGTATTTATCCTCAATCAAACTGTTCCCTCCCACACTCACACTAGCTGAACTTTATAAGTTTATCTCTACATAAGTGAAAAACACTGGACTAAAGGTCTAAAGACCTAATTTACAGAAATCTCACCTGAGTGTCTCTAGTTTACAGTGTGAACTCTTCACTCCAGCAGAGAGCAGCTCCACTCCTGAATCCTGCAGTTCGTTGTCACTGAGGTCCAGCTCTATCAGGCAGGAGTTTACTGATTGTAGCGTTGATCCCAGATTTTTACAGGCTTTCTCACTAAGATTACATGTAGCTAGCCTGCAAACAGAGATTGCAGTGTACTCAATGAAGAGTTTCTGAATAGACATAAAAGTACATCATATTGTTTAGATAACACACTAAAAAAGGTATCTGGGCATTTTTATTTTACCAGTAGGGTTAGAGAGTCACAACAGTATTCTAAAGCCACAGGAAGTGATAAATAAAGCTGTTAGTATTTCATGTTAGTCAAGTCAAAATTTATTTATATAGTGATTTTTACAACAGTTGTTGTCACAAAGGAGCTTTACAGAAAAATCTAGGTCCAAGCCCACATGAGCAAGTCATTAGTGACAGTGACATGGAAAAACTCCCTAAGAGCAAGAAGAAGAAACCTTGAGAGTAACCAAGACTCAAAATGGGGACCCATCCTCTTCTGGGTGACATCAGATAGCAAACAGCATTAGTATAAAATATTAAAATACAAAAAGTGAAAAACAGGTGGAGCAATGGTTAATTAGATAGTTTGAGTTTATGTAGCAGCAGCAGCATCATCAAGAGAGTCAGTTCATGAAGGTGAGGTTTGCACAGCTTTGTACTGCGTGAATCTCAAAGGTGGTCAAACTGGTCCAGAGGGCTGAATCAGTCCACAAGGCTGGCAAGCAGTGGGCACCCGATCAAGGCAGAAGAAGCAACAGCATCAGACTGCACAGGATGGGGAACTGTTCAAGTTGGCAAAGAAAAGGAAACAGAGTTAGTTCTGTAAAGAGTGACTGATCACAGATTACAGTATTAACAGCAGCACAGACTCTGGCAGGTCTAGTTATTGCAGCCCAAATAAAAGGGACATACCAGAAAGGTAACAGACACATGAGGCTCCCTGAGATGTCAGCACCCCTCTGCTCCACTGTCAGCAAACTTGAGTGAATGCATAGAGCAGTGGGACGACAGCACCAGCACTCCCAGTTTACCATAATACTCTATGTCCATGAACCCCCAGATCTGCATCTTTTATCTAACAGGGAAAGCTAATTACCAATTACCAGGCTTGACTAAACAAGTAAGTTTTAAGCCTAGACTTAAAAACTGAGGCTGTGTCTGAGTCTCAAACACTGATTGGAAGATTATTCCAAAGCTGGGGGGCTTTGTATGAAAAGGCTCTCCACCCTGATGTAACTTTATTAATTCTAGGTACTAATAGTAAGCCAGCACCCTGTGAACTAAGTAGGCATAATGGTTCATAGTGTGAGAGAATTGCACTCAGTTACTGAGGGGGTTCAAGTACGTTTAGAGCTTTATATGTCAGTAAAAGAATTTTGTGATGTGAAATTTAACTGGCAACCAGTGTAGGTTTGGTAAAATTGGGCTGATATGGTCCAACTTTCTGGTTCTTGTGAGACTCTGACTGCAGCGTTCTGGACTAGATGAAGGTTGTTAAGGCTTTTGCTGGAACATCCAGACAGCAGGGCATTACAGTAATCTAGACTTGAGGAAATAAATGCATGAACTAGCTTTTCTGTATCCTGTAGGCACAAAGCATTTCTTAATTTAGCAATATTGCAGAGATGCACGAAAGCTATTCTAGTAATATTTGTTATATGTACATGAAAAGACAGATCAGGATCTATTGTGATGACAAGTTTTTTTTTTTTTACAAATGAACCTAATGCAACTGAGAAATTGTTAAGTTTTAGTGTTAAATTAGACAGTTTGTTTCTATCAGCATTTGGACCAAGAAGCAGAACCTCTGTTTTATCTGAGTAGGAGAAAGTTACTTGACCTCCAGTCTTTTATGTCTTTTACACAGTCCTCAATCTTGCTAAGTTGAATTTTATCATCTGGTTTGCTTGATATATGTAACTGTGTGTCATCAGCATAGCAGTGGAAATTGATGCCATGTTTACTGATAATGGTGCCCAGTGTTAACACATATAATGTGAATAATATAGGTGTCCTTGGTGAATATGTATGTTAACAGTTTGTGTCTTACTAGCTTTATTTATTTTCCAATCAAGAAAAAAAACAGAAAGCTCACCTGAGTGTCTTGATTTTACAGTGTGAACTCTTCAGCCCAGCAGAGAGCAGCTCCACTCCTGAATCCTGGAGGTCATTGTTACTAAGGTCCAGCTCCTTCAGACAGGAGCTTGAAGATTGTAGAGCTGATCCTAGATTTTCACAAGCTTTCTCCCCAAGATTACAGATAGTTAGTCTGCAAAAAAGATATTAAAATTTAGTAAAAGAAAGATTTCTGAATACACTGACAGCACAATTATATCATATTCTTTAGACAACACACTAGATAAATGTGTTTGCATGTTTTATATTACTGGTAATTTAGTATTGAGATACAGTATAATTTTAATAACACAGAAAATCCTAAATAATACTGTTAGTACATCACATTAACAGTTTATTGCATATTTCCATCTTATTTTCCACTTAAGAACAAATTTCCAGAAATTTCACCTGAGTGTCTCCAGTTTACAGTGTGAACTCCTTAGTCCAGTAGACAACAGCTTTATTCCTGAATCCTGCAAGTCATTCTTACTGAGGTCCAGCTCTAACAGTGAGGAGGTTGCTGATTGTAGAGCTGATCCCAGACTTTCACAAGCTTTTTCACCAAGATTACAGATAGCTAATCTGCAAACAGATATTACACTGTGCTCAAAGAACGAATAGTGTAAAAGAATAAGAAAAGTATCGTATTGAATACAATAGCATTCTAACATTTCAATCAGAAAATCTTCAAATTTGCTGTTAGTACATCATGTTGACAATTCATGCTGAAACTTGTTTGAAGTTTGCTACAGAAGATCAAGATTCACCAGCAGGTTCCGTGAAGTCTTAAAGATTTAAAGACTTTGAGTAAAAAGATGGGCCACAATTTATTGTGCCTTATTAGCTCATCTTATTTCTATTCAGGAAGGAATTCTGAGAAAGTTCACCTTAGTGACACCAGTTTACAGTGTGAACTCTTCAGTCCTGATGAGAGCAGCTCCACTCCTAAATCCTGCAGGTCATTGCTACTGAGGTCCAGCTCTTTCAGAGAGGAATTTACATATTGTAGAGCAGAACAGAGAGTTTCACATGAATCCTTGGAAAGATTACACCCAGCTAGTCTGCAAATAAATAATTAAAACAAAATACAGGACAGTTAAAACAAGGCATATGAAACCAATTTTCACAGGAATTATGTGTTATGAATGCTGAATGAGTTGATCAAAGTGTACCCATTTTTAATGAATAACACAACAACCATAATTATTGTTATTCCAAACTACCACAGTACTGCACATCTCACTAGTTTGCTTCATAAACTACACTCTATCCAAACAGAAAGACATTGAACCTTTAAATATTCTCCCAATTGCTCTACATGAAGCAAGACATATAGTGCCCTTCAAAATTGTGACGAGTCAAACAGAATCAGACGCTCGCAGATAAAAACTACAAAGGAGGCTTTACTAGAAAAAGCGCAGTACACTTTCGTGGTCAAGAAACAGGCAGGGATCAATTCCAGAAAGCCGACAAAACACAAAACAAACATACACCAGGCAAACAGTCCGAACAGGAGAAGGCAAAAACGTGGTCAAAAACACAAGCAGAGGGTCTGAGTCCAAAATCCAGAATCAGGTAAACAATCCAAAGGGCAGGGCAAAAGACAAAGTCAAAAAACAAGGCAAAGGTCATACATGATAATCAGATATAGAAATAAACGCTCAGTAGATCACAAAAGACAGACACAATACTTTGCAACTGGCCTAGTCTAAAGCCCGGGCTTAAATACTACACTAAGTAGACATATGATCAAACACAGGTGACATTGATTAGTATTCCGGAGATTGTGAACGCGGATATGAGTTTGGGGTCAGGTGGGGAGTCATGTGACCTTCCTGAGTGTTCTGGGAGTTTGAGTCCGGCTGTCTATCTTCATCGGTTGGCTGTGGGGAAGTCAGGTGATCTCCCAGAGGACTCTGGGAGATCGAGTCCGAATCCAACAAGGCACTCGGCGGATGCGTGACAAAAATGCTGACACTTCTGGTGTAAGTTGGTTGTAAAAAAAACATTCTTCATTGTTTAACTTTGATCTTTAATTCAAAACATTGAAAAAATCTTCATTTGAAGTACAATGACTGAAACAAACAATTTATGAAATGTTTTGTTTTTTTTTTAATCTGGAAACTGAAGTATATCCCCGAGCAAACTAGATAATACAGCAATGATGTGCAAAATAAGGTTATTGAGCTGCACAAATCAGGAAATGGCCACACAAAATATCTAAGCAGATGAAAAAGCCCATTTTTACTGTCAGGCCAATATAAAAGAAATGTAAAGCAACTACAGATGTGTCTTTTCCCAGCAGATTCTTTATAGGTCTATATTGACCACACACAGAGTAAGGAGACACCAGCAGATATTGGCTACCTCTGAAAGGCTTTAACTGGGACATTCCAGTAAATCAATAATCCAAATAACACCACAAAATCAACACAAACCTCAATTTCCAAGAACTTTGAATGCTGTGCAAAATATACATAAAAACATAATGCAGTAATGTGCAAAATATGTAAACCTTATATTTATTTAAAATTGTACAAAGACAATATCATAAAATAGTCTGAAAAATGTATGTTTTGAAAAATGTATGCCCATTTTGAATTTGATGAAGTGAAATATTTTCCAATTCTTGCTTGATATAGGATTTCAGCTGCTCAACAGTTCAATATCTCCTTTGTCATACTTTTTGTTTCATGAGTGCCACATGTTTTCAATAGGTGACAGAACTGTGCTGTGATTAGAAGCTGGATGGTACCTCTCCTCTTTAGCCTGGAGGACGCAGCATCCATGATTTCCAAAAATAATTTCAAACTTTGATTCTTTGGACCACAAGGCACTTTTTCACTTTGTCTTTATCCATCTTGCATACACTCAGGCTCAGAGAAGTCAGTGGAGTTTCTGGATCCTGTTTATATATGGTTTCTTCTTTGCATGGTAGAGTTTTAACTAGTATTTGTGGATGCAGTGATGAACAATATTCACAGACACTGGTTTTCAGAAGTGGTTTCCTGAGCCCATGTAATGATTTCCACTACAGAATGATGTCTGTTTTTAATGCAGAGCTGCCTGAGCAGCAAGATCATGGCCAGCTAATGTTAGTTTTTGGACTTTTCTCTTGCCTATAGAGATTTCACCAGATTTTCTAAATATTTTAATGATATTTTGTAATGTCAATGATGAAATCCTCAAATTCTTTGCTTTTTTTAAATGTATTGCTGGCATCAAATTCATGCTGAAACTTGTTTGAAGTTTGCTACAGAAGATCAAGATTCACCAGCAGGTTCCGTGAAGTCTTAAAGATTTAAAGACTTTCTGAGTGAAAAGATGGGCCACATTCCACCTGAACACTGTGAGAGACTTGTATCTTCATACAATAAGTGTCTTGAAGCTGTCATTGCAACAAAAGGTCCTAAAACAAGTGTTATATGAATTTCAGTTAGTGTGTTCAATACTGTTTTCCTAAATCATTTCAATTTATTGCACATCATTTTTATAGTTTGGAATATTTGGAAAGTTTTTTAGCTGTGTAGTTTTATTGCGTTAGTATCAATGTCTGATCAAAATTAATGTGAATAGAAACATTGGAAATATTTTAAATAAAAATATGTTGACATGTTTGTGTGTCAGTGTCTGTACATGTGTGTTTGTTTTCTCTTCCCTCTCAGTTGCTTTCTCTCCTGTTTTTTTGGCTTTCTCTTTCCTTCCTAGGTTATCTGATATATCAATCACCACTATCTCAAGGACATCATTTGTCACCTTGCAGAGTTCCAAGAGGCAGAGCTAAGTCTTTAAAGCAGTGCAGCAGAATGCATTGTCAGTCCTGGGCATCTTGTGACATCAGCATTTTTAGCACTATATATATATATATATATAAAGCCATGGCTAGATTTAGTCCCATCTATCGTACAGCCATTGCTCACTTCTGCCCCTGCTATCTTACAGTCCTGCTAGTTGTAGCACTTGCTAGATTGAAGCTCTACAATCTTGCAGCCCATGCTAGCAGGGCCAGCTTCAGCCTTAACCAGCTTTAGAAGCTTGTTTACCAGTTTGCTTTGTTAGCTTTAAAGACTTGTCACTTCTATTAGTCCCCACTAGCTTTGTTTAGCCCTCTACCACATTGGTTCTGTTAGCCTCTGTTAGCCTTTGTTACTTCTAAAGTGACTGCACCATTTGTTGTTGGTTAGTCTGTAATGCCTGGTAGGACTGGCTCTCAATTCTTTTAAACTGGTGCTTCTCCCCTAGGAGATTGGACAGGTTAGTCTGTGTGTGCACCTACATTTACATTTATAGGTACATCATTGTCTAAACAGGCTAGTTTAAGGGCAGGTACCACCTCTATTGTGTTTTGTCAGCTTAGCATGAAGTAGCAGGTACAGTTTTCTTTCTTGTTTTTGGTTATGTAAGGTAGCTGTTTAATTGTGCGAGTAGTGTGTTTTGTCAAATTCCATTCTTTGACCCTTCTCAGATTGCCCAGTCTGCAGTACAACACCTTTATATCAAATTGTTCTTTATTTATAGCTTAACTTGTTTATATGTTTGACTTATTCAACTGCAATTTTTTCCCCCAGTGTATTTATATGTTATATTAAGGTAGATATAATACTTACCGAGCTTTTCTGTAGACAGTCACAGCTGGGATCAGTCTGCTATAACCTTTTTCTAATGAGTTGTATTTCTTCAGGTCCAGCTCATCCAAAACCCCCTCAGACATTAGAAGCAAGCAGGCTAGTGCTGAACACATTCCAGGAGAGAGCTTCACCTCTGGTTGTTTCTCAGGTTTTAGATACTCCTGAAGCTCTCTGTAGAAAGAATGATCATTCATTTCAGCCAGACAGAAGAACAGATTGATTGATCTGTCATTTGAGATATGATATTGTTTATTTTCTCTTTTTATTAGTGTCTTGATGCACTCTCTAGTTTTTTCCAAGCTACTCTGTGTGTGGTCCAGTAGACCCTGTAGGAGTCTCTGACTGGACTCGATTGAGATGCCCAGCAGGAAACGGAGGAAAAGATCCAGGTGTCCATTCTGACTCTCTACAGCTTTATAAACTGCTCCCTTCAGCAGCTCATCAAGTGGAACATAATTAGATTGCAATCTGTTCTTATTTGTCTCACTGCTGTTTCTGTTCTCAGAGTTCTCAGTGTCACTGCTCTCAATGTATGTACTCTCATAATCATGATCATCCTGCAGGAAAATTTGCAACTCTCCCATGTTCTTGCTCTCATAGCAGTGAAACACATAAACAGCAGCCAGGAACTCCTGAAAGCTCAGATGAACAAAGCAGTAGACCTTCCTCTGGTAAAGCACACATTCCTCCCTAAAGATCTCAGTGAAAATCCCAGAATATACTGAGGCCTCAGTGACATCAATGCTGCTTTCTCTCAGGTCCTCTTCATAAAACATCACATTGCCCTTCATCAGCTGTTTGAAAGCCAGCTCAGCCAGTTTCAGAAGAATGGTTCTGTTGGACTCCAGCAGATTCTTTGGGTTTCTCCTCTTTTTCTCCTCATACTTCTCGTTCTTCATGTTTGTCTGAGTGAGCAGGAAGTGTGAGTACATTTCAGTCAGAGTTTTAGGGATTTCTGTATGACGCTGTTTGATGATTTGCTGAAGAACAGTGGCTGAGATCCAGCAGAAGACTGGAATGTGGCACATGATGTGGAGGCTCCTCGCTGTCTTAATGTGGGAGATGATTCTCTTGGCTTGGTCTTCATCACTGATCCTCCTCCTGAAGTACTCCTCCTTCTGTGGGTCACTGAATCCCTGAATTTCTGTCACACGCTTGATGTATTTAGGAGGGATCTGATTGGCTGCTGCTGGTCGGGAGGTTATCCAGATCAGAGCAGAGGGAAGCAGCTCTCCTTTGATGAGGTTTGTCATCAACACACCCACTGATGATGTCAGGGTGATGTCAGATACTTTCTCACACTGTTTAAACTTCAGTGGAATTCTACTTTCATCCAGACCATCAAATATAAACACAGCTTTGAGCTGATCATAAATATCTGGGTCCAGATCTTTGAGCTCAGGATGGAAGTCACACAGAAGTCCATGAAGACTGTATTGATCATCTTTAATCAGGTTCAGCTCCCGGAACGGAAGCACAAACATGAGCTCTACATCCTGATTGGCTTTTCCTTCAGCCCAGTCCAGAATGAACTTCTGCACAGAGACAGTTTTTCCAATTCCAGCGATGCCTTTAGTCAGAACACTTCTGAGCTCTGGCTCTTTTGGTCTGTTATCTTCTTTTCTTTCTTTGTGTCTGAGACTGTCAGCCTTCACAGCTCTAATGTTCTCTTCTAGTGTTTCTCCTTCAGGACCTTGTAGAGGTTTAAAGATGTCTAAGCAGTTGATTGGAGAGTCTTGTACGCGTCTCCTGGATGTTTTCTCCATCTGCAGAACCTCATGTTCTTCATTCACTCCTTCACTCTCTCCCTCTATGATGTAGAGCTGTGTGTAAATCCTGTTCAGGAGGGTTTTATTCTCTTCTGTTCTGATTCCCTCAAATAAGCTCTCGCACTTGTTCTTCATGCTGGTTTTGTGTCTCTCTAAGACTCTGTGAAGGACGTCATCCACTGATTGGTGAATATCTGCCAGAGTGTTTGTCTGCAGTGCTGTTTGTGTGGAGTGCTGCCTAATCAGGACCAAAACACAGTAACATAAACATCATTAACACAAATACCCAGAATAATATTCTGATCATTTATTATAATTGACTTGAGATTTTTTATCACTAAAGGTTTCTTTTGGTTGACCTCAGACTCCCAGGACAATCTTTATGGTAAATGTATTGCACATTTGATTTTTCCAGTCAAAAACTAATAAGAACAAATATTCATAGACAACTGTAATATAGCATTAATAGTCTTATTTAAATATTGCATGTGTGGGAATTCCTGTAGCTACTCATGGTTAAAGGTTAATAAACATGCACTGTTTTCTATATATTTACAAAAAAAAAAAATACACTTCTCACATTTTTCCAATATTCACAAGTCAGCAATTGTGACATGATTGGAGTTTTATTTGGTAATGTCACAAAATATTATTACACATAATGTTAATGCCCTAAATTGCATGTAAGCACATGTTTCATAGATGACCCCCAAGTACTCCTGTGGAATTCCATGAGTTATTTGTTTACTAATGATGGCTGATAACCTGTACTACACTGTTACACAGTGACAAACATCAATAATTTACATAACCATAATAATCTTCTGATCATTTATTGCATAACATTTGAGCTAAATATGTAAGCAAATGTTTTTATAGATGACCCCCAAGTACTCCAGTGGAATTATATGAGTTTTATGTTACTATATGTGATATGATGATTACATGTGATAACATAACCTGCACTTCACTGGCTGCCTGTTACCATCACAACCCTGAGAAAGTGGACAGACCAGGATGAGGAGGCTCTGCACGCTGGACTAAAGGAGACACACTGGAACTTGATAGGATCCTCATATGGAGAGAACACAGATGAACACTGACTAAACTGTTTCCTCAGTAACTACTCCATTTTCCATAAACCCCCAGTTTTAAAGGGCATCATCATGGGCTACTTGAACAGGCTAACATCAGTTCGTGAGTTCAGGCCATGCCTGGTGGTAGTATGTGGGGAGACTGATTGGAGGGGGAGTGGACTCTGAGAACTTGGGCTGGAGTTCTGGGCAGGTTCTGCCTGTAGCTAGAAGGCTGGACCTTCATAGCTGTAGTAGTACTGAGGAACAGGGAGGATATGGGGTGGAGGTGGGGATTGAGAACACTTTGACACTGTGCTACCTTATCAAAATGTTCTCCCGTAGCGCCTATTTACAGGTAAACCCGTAAATAAAACCTCTAGGTATGATATTTTGATAGGCTAAAACTCCTTATCAAAAATACCAGTGTTAAAACTACAAGGCTGAATTTAACAGCATTTTGCTTGAATGTTCCTGTTTCACCTTAAATGGTGCAGCAATTATGATTAGCCATCACAAACATTAGCAAACAGGACAAAATACTGACTTATTTTTGCCATTTCACAGAACCAACAAGTTAATGTTACTCAGCTGTAAAGTGGAAATAGAGAAACCTTCTCATATCAGGCCTTTCAACTCTCCAGGAAGCTGAAGTCTTGCTTTTTCACCAGCTGCTTGTGTGAATTTTCCCGTTCCACCAGACAGTATAAGGTGATGTTATGAGTGGTCAGTCTATGTCTATGTAACACTCAGCACTGGATTCACCTCAGATGGAACTCAGTCTACAGCTCACATGTACTAATACTGTAAACAGTAATTAACTGGGTGACCTCACTCTGATTAACAACAGTGGCCAGAGAGGCGGCCATGACTCACGCTACAATGGCACTGATCACCCTTTGAGTCCACTCCTGATCAATAAACTATAAATGACTGCAAATGTAAAGGTAAATAAAATGTAAAATTACATAGTTTATCAAAATAACAATAAAACTTCATCACACTGCCCACCAGGCAGATTTGACATCTGCAGTTACCACAGCATAAACTTCCTTTCTACTAACAGCTCCAGTGTTGAAACCTAAACTCTAACCTTTACAGCCCAGGAATATGTTTACAATGATTCACTGTCAGAGCTGCTGTTTACTGGTAGCAGATATTTACCCTGAGTCAGAGGATCCTCTCCCTCCACTGGACTGTGCTGGTAACATCATGGACCAGTGACTCTTCATAGACACACAGCTGGGTTCTCCTCCTCTGCTGAGTTTAAGAGGTTCCCCCATGGACCAGTGACTCTTCATAGACATACAGCTGGGTTCTCCTTCTCCTCTGCTGAGTTTAAGAGGTTCCTCCATGGACCAGTCACTCTTCACAGACACACAGCTGGGTTCTCCTCCTCTGCTGAATTTAAGAGGTTCCTCCATGGACCAGTCACTCTTCATAGACACACAGCTGGGTTCTCCTTCTCCTCTGCTGAGTTTAAGAGGTTCCTCCATAGACTGGTCACTCTTCACAGACACACAGCTGGGTTCTGGAGATCCTGCACGCTTCACTCTGAGAAAAGTTTATCCACAGTGAGATTAAAGTGCTGAGTAATTATGTTCTTCACTAAGACTCATTTACTCTGATCATAAGTCACGATTTCCTCTTTCTGTTTAATCAGATTAAGAGCTGATATAAAGTTACTCACTTTGAGTCAGAGGTTCTTCCTCCACTGCTGGAGTGATGAAGCTCCATCACTGCGGTTTTACTCTCCACACCCAGCTGGACACTGGAGATGCTGCTAAGAACAGTTATATTTCATAAAAATGCATAGTTACTCTTTGTTGACCAGTGAGTTTGTTGTTGACACAGCAGGAAATGTTTTTTCATTAAAATGATCCAATCCATATTTATCATTATGGAAGAAGTTGAAGCAGACAGAGGAAACAGGCTCTAGACCTACTGATCACATCTGCTGCTGCTCCAGTCTTTATTAATCATAATCAGTCATTATATGATACTGATCTGTAGTGAAGGCTGTGTAGAGCTCATACTGTCCATCATACAGAACTGCACATTAGAAGGTTTTTTATCACTTTGTACAGGAATTCTGGACATTAGAAAACTTCAACGTAAAAGACAACCTAAATGTTATAAAAGATGATTTTACATTAAACTGAGGTGAACAAAGTCAATTAATACAGATGAAGTGTGATACAGGGTGATGGAAACAGAGTTTTGAATAAACAATGATGTTGTGGAGACATAAATCTCATATTTCAGCTTCATCTGATCTCCATAATAATAAAAGGTCTCTGTGTAATATTGATCCAGAACTGTGTGGTCATTCTCAGGTGGACGCTGTTGGAGTGGAACAGTAATCTGATCTCTCAGTAAATGGTCCATCACTCTGAGCTGCTGTAGTTCAGCCGTCTACAGATGACCAATCTACTCAGAGCTAATAGAGGCTCAGACTCTCCATTAGGCTGCAGTTAGGTTCTCTTTAGTTCCACAGGACTAATCCTGTTATGGCATCTTAAGGATCTTCATAGAGTAGCTGATAGAAACACTCAGAGACTGATGAACTGAGCTTTTAATAAACTGTATTTACTGATAGAATCTCAGTATAAACAGACAGTAGAACTGATCACCTCTATAACCCTGATAGTCATGATCAATAACGTTACTGTCTCTCTCTGATCTCTCAGTTCATTATTAATAAACTGTATTTACTGATAGAATCTCAGTATAAACAGACAGTAGAACTGATCACCTCTATAATCCTGATAATCTTTATCAATAACGTCACTGTCTCTCTCTGATCTCTCAGTTCATTATTAATAAACTGTATTTACTGATAGAATCTCAGTATAAACAGACAGTAGAACTGATAATCTCTATAACCCTGATAATCTTTATCAATAACGTTACTGTCTCTCTCTGATCTCTCAGTTCATTATTAATAAATTGTATTCACTGATAGAATCTCAGTATAAACAGACAGTAGAACTGATCACCTCTATAATCCTGATAGTCATGATCAATAATGTTACTGTCTCTCTCTGATCTCTCAGTTCATTATTAATAAACTGTATTTACTGATAGAATATATACTGTATTCATGATGATCTGTGTTTATTCTAACACAAAGTATAGTGAATCTCATCTGTGATGAGAGGTTATGGCAATAATGCTGATGTTATCTGCACTTCTAATCACTTTTATTGATCTATGAAAGCTTCCTGGAGGTGTTCTATTACAAAGTGTAGAAAACTAGTGGAGCTGCTTTAGTTTCTACACAGACAGCATCAGGAATTCACTTCCTCCTAAAGTCCTTCACCCTCAACACTCACAAGGGCATTAACACCTTATTCACTTTAGATTTTAATGAACTCCTATAAAACTTTATATATTTATTATTAGAGTTTAATGAAGTGTATTTTTATTAAGTTTCTTGTTTTGTGCATACGATTTTGTTTTGCAACTATTCTATTTCTTTGAGTATTACTCTTTTATTTCTAAGTCTGAATTGTTTTTATTATTACTTTTTAATCAAAAACATACTGTTATTGTTTTCTGAATGTTCTTGTGTATAAGCTCTGTGAGCTGCTAAGTTTAAAGCTGTTATTATAATAAATATCATCATTAATGCAGATCAGAGGACTCCTCAGTGATATCTGTGAGGAACTGAAAGCACTTTTACCTTTTCTGAGGTTTGTCTAGACGTCTTCAGTGAGAAAGTCCAAGTCCACCTTCATCTGTGTTCATTTACAGCAGATCTACAACAGAAACATCACTGACCACCAACACAGACACTTCATCTCCATTTCAGTAGAATATGTTCTCCCACTGGAGCCTTTAGAACATTAGAGAGCTGAATTCTCTCTGTCTCAGTCCAGACTGAACCAGAACACGGCTGAACTTTGTTTTCTTTAGAACCAGAGAAACTGGTTGGAGCTCATTTCAGTCTCATTACATCACCAGAGGATCTGAAACTACACTCTGCTGCAGATGTCACTGATTGTCCCTCACCAGCAATGCTCTAATTATTACATTATTATTATTATTGTGTGTGTGTGGGGTGCAGTGAGGGGTCCACATTTTTGTCTCCAGTTAAAGTTCAGACTAAAAGTCTTCATTTCAGTTGCTCTGACCTTTCACCCATAAACTGGTTTAACTGGTCTTACTTGTGAGAGGCAAAGAACCGAACACATTTTAAAGGAGTCCCATGGAAGTTCCAGTATTCATGAAGTCCAGTCCATGTTTCAGCCAAACATTCATGAAAGAAGGCAAACAAATAAAAATAAATAAATAAATAAATAAATAAACAAAAAATAAAAAAAATGTTCACTGAACTTGATTTACTGTCACAAAGCCTCAAAGAACTGTGTTGCTCTAGTGTCTGTTGCAGCTCTGCAACTGAGCAAACTAATACAGTACTGCCCCCTAGTGGAGCACAATATTAACCAGAACCAGCAGTACTTTCTTGTTCATTCCAAACATGCACTACAACTTATGCTGAACCACAAACCAATAAACTGAGAATAACGATAACTCTCAGCTGTCAGTCCTTGTCTGTTTGATGTCCTGTTGTAACAAACACAGCTTATTCACAGGCCACTCCAGCATGTATGTCTTGGTTTGTAGCTTGGTTTGGTGCACTGGTCCACTGAAGTCAGGTAAGGCTTGGTTTGTTTTTTCGATTATCTAGTTTTGTGGGGATGAACTACATACAACTATTACAGTATCTCTCTGCTTCAAGCTTCTTCTTGCTCTGGATCATTTCTGGTGCTCTTGTAAAAGTGGCAGGTATTCCCAAGTTCATCTGGTCCATGTAAGAAGCACTTTAGTCAGAGGATCATATTTATAGTCTACACCAAACTTCCTTCCAGCCTCTATACACACACCGCTCATCTCAAAAGCAGCCGGTTCTCCTCAGTGTTATGCATTTTAATGTCTTTGGGCTTCACTGAAAAGGCCGGAGCAGCTTTCTAGCACGTACTAATGTAGAGGCCCACCGATGCATGTGCACCAGCTGGAGGACCACCATACGTCCTGGGGTCATTGATGTCAAGGTGATGGATGTTTTGTGCTGCCACGTTTCCAGGGTTTTTCCCCTCTGCCTGATGTCTACCTGAACCTGGAGGGGTGATCAAACAATAAAAGAAAACAGATTCAGAGTGATGATGTCATTCACATCAGCTCCTGAAGGAATGACTCATAGCCTACTTCCCCAACGTCGCCTGACAGAAGCATCTAATGGACAAGAAATTAAAAAGAAAAAAGTTACCTGGCAGGTCAGACGTCAGTTTTGTGTATACGAGACGCTCCATTTGTGTCTCCTTTATCTTTAAAGTGATGTGTATAAAGTTTTAAAACGCTTTGAGGTTTTAAAACTTTTCATGCGCACACAAAACACACGGATCGGCATCGGCTGAATAAAGACCATTAGAACCATTAGAGTCCTTTACACTGTGATATCAGCCCATGAGGAGAACACTAAACACCATTAGTGCCTACTGGACACCACCAGGAACCAGCAGGCCCTCTTCATGGTTTGTGTGGCTGTTTTCAGCGGGGGCTGCTTTACTGCGAGTCTCAGCGAGACCCCTGCAGTGAGAAGGTAAAGAAGCAGCGCTCCAGCTCGCTGTTTATTCACACGCGCTGCCTCCGCGCGGATAGTCTTGCCTTTCATTTCGGCGCCCAGGTTAACAGGACAGCGCGTGCACACAGGCTGCGCGAGACCCAGACACGCAGCTAAATACACTGAAATAAGCCGTGAAGATCAGTGAAGGTCAAACAGAGAACCGTGTACAAACTTTACAACGCTGCTTTTATTTAGTTCATGACGAAACACCAGTCAGTCATTCTGAGCTGCAGACAGATTTCCTGACCGGTCCACCAGGCCTGAAACTCTCTCCTCATCACAGTCAGAGCGCTGTGGAGGACAGACAGACAGACAGACAGGCCGTGCACTTTTATGAATGATGTGTTTATTGATCAGAGTGACTGATGTGTCCGTCTGTCCGTCTGAAGCAGGACTGTCTGTGTATCCGTCTCTCTGCAGCTCACACGCTGTCTGTGTGACAGACCAGTGCGTTCAGCTGTAGGAAGGCGCAGCTGGACATCCAGCCCCGCCCACATCTGACCCGGCCTACCGCACGTCACCTCACGAGCCTGTCAATCATGCTGTACGTTCAAGAACCACGGCGTAGCGCTTGATTTACGCATGTGGCGCAACATTGTTTACAGGTTTTCCATCATTGTTAGACTGAACATTGCTTCTCTTTTCAGTAAGGATATCTACTGAACACATATCGACTCTCGTTATCAACAATCAGTAGATTATTATTTTGAATTGTAGAGTCTTTAAGTAATTGGCAGCCAAAATCCCCAAACTTGTCAGTACACATTGGCTATGTTTACATGCAACGATTTTTGGCAATCCGATTGAATACAATCCGATTACAGATTTAGACTGAGGTGTTTATATGCACACTCTATTTAACAATCTGATGGAAAATCTTCGTTTACATGCTCACTACAAGTAATCCGATGCAAAATGACGCGCATGCGTGGAGTAGCGCTTAGAGTAAACGTTACCATGACAGCGAACATCACGTGAGGTCCAGACCAGTTTCTGCTCCGCCATGTTGAGCGGTGTAAACTTTCGCCGTGACGCGACGCACATGCGCAGAACACGTTCCGATTGGAATGTAATCGGATTCAGGCGTTTACATGGCTATTATTCTTCTATTTAACGGGTTATTTAGTTTACCCACCTCGTTTAATCGGATAGAAATTGTATTCCGAATGGCCTCAATCGGATTAGACTATTCCGATTGAGGTGTTTACATGGACGTATTCTATTCCGATTGAGCTATTAGTCGGATTATTAACGGATTATCAGGCTGCATGTAAACGTGGCTATTGTAAAATGGTCATTTCCAATAAGTAGTAAAACCAGCAGATATCAGTTGAGTTTAATGCTATACATGTACATATGAATTATGAAGTAATTTCACTCTGGCATTTTTCAGTAATTTGTAGTCAAAATCCTCATAATTGTTAGTCCAACTAAATAATAACTGAAATTTGAAACTAATAAAATAACATTAATGGATATCAGTTAAGAGTCATTTCTATTATGCACCTAAAGTTATATGAAGTGATTCTACTGTAGTATTTCAAGTCATTAGCAGTCAAAATCCTCACCTTCATCAAGAAGTCATTCTGCATGTTTGACTGCAAAAGGTCAGTGAGATGATCGACTCAGCCATCCACTTCAGTTGCAGGAGAACGCTCTGAGTTGCCAAACCAGCAGCTGGTCTCAACCATTTCTATAAAGAATCTTAGATCTCCCTCAGTCTGACACTGTATGAACTTAATAATGCATAATGAATAAATTAATAAATGGTTGATTTATTAAAATGTTTATTTGTTCAAATAAGTTAAATTGTATCCAGTGGATTGGTTTTGGTAATTTCAGATGAATACAAGCTCAAAACATGCAATAAATAATACTTTTCATTTTTTCTGATTTCTTTGTAGTGAAACAAATGTTAAAATTCTCTTTGGTTCAGGTAATTTTACCTTGTTGGAAGACTCCATACTTAAAATGCACTCTAGACAAGCACCTGTTGCACAGTATTGTTAAAAGATTGTGGAAATTTGATTTTGTAAATGCATTTCAAATTTGCGTATGTAATAAAAAAGGAGATTAGTTGTAAATTTTACGTGTTGCAAACTAATAATTCTACTGGTTTCATTTTCATTTAAAGGGTTTTTTTTTAAAACATTTTACGCTGTTTCTGGTTTACAAATACAAATATTCTATCTAATCTTCCTCTTATTTCATGTTATGAATCTGTTTTTACACTATCCTTTAGAATCATCAACAACCTTTGTAAAAAGAGCAAGTAGTCCAGGAATTAAAGACAACAATGATCTCTTAAATCTTCTGAATTTATTTTTTTTTTCTCTCCAATACAAACATATAACAGATTTTGGCACACTTGCATTTCACGACACTGAATTTTGTTTTTTTTGTTTGATTTCTCTTCAAACTGTGCATTAATTCTGCAGATGTCCAGCTCTTTTGGTTGGACCCCATGTCCTTTTAATGACATGTCAATGGGTGGATGCTGGGTGGATGAAAGATTTTGCCACTGCAAACACTCTATTTGCATAATCAACACACTGAGCATTGAGGTGTTTCTGTGCTGTAATGTCCATTTTGATGGGGGCATGTCGTGGTGGGAGTGACTAAGGCACTTCTGTTCTGGTGGTCTTTGTTTCACTGCTTCACTGGGATACATGATGTTTAAACTGGTCTTTGCATATTGTTGTTTGGCTGCAATAAAGACAATGAAATTGCGCTGTGGATCTGCATTCATTGATGCATTTGCAGATGAAGTAACCTGTAAGAAAACAACGCCAAGACCAAAGTTAGCAACACTGCAGATGCAGAAACGTATACAAAACACGCAAACAAGAAAATTAGCTTATAAATATTCACATCACTTCAGTGGCTCCCGCTAAGAAATTAGCCTACAGCTCATCTTGTTTATCTTGATAGTAAGATGCAAGTGCATTTCTGTATATCTATCTATCTATCTATCTATCTATCTATCTCTCTGTCTGTCTGTCTGTCTTCTACAAACATTTGTGAAAGAATGAGTCACTCTCAGGAGCTCAGTGAAATCCAGTGTGGTACCGTGATAGGATGCCACCTGTGCAACAAGTCCAGTCATGAAATTTCCTCACTACTAAATATTCCACAGTCAACTGTCAGTGGTATTATAACAAAGTGGAAGCGATTGGGAACGACAGCAACTCTGCCACGAAATGTTAGGCCACGAAAAATGACAGAGCGGGGTCAGCGGATGCTGAGGCGCATAGTGCGCAGAGGTCACCAACTTTCTGCAGTCAATTGCTACAGACCTCCAAACTTCGTGTGGCCTTCAGATTAGCTCAAGAACAGTGTAGAGAGCTTCATGGAATGGATTTCCATGGCCGAGCAGCTGCATCCAAGCCTTACATCTCCAAGCGCAATGCAAAGCATCAAATGCAGTGGTGTAAAGCGCCGCCACTGGACTCTAGAGCAGTGGAGACGTGTTCTCTGGAGTGACTATTCACGTTTCTCCATTTGGCAATCCGATGGACGAGTCTGGGTTTGGCGGTTGCCAGGAGACCGGTACTTGTCTGACTGCGTTGTGCCAAGTGTAAAGTTTGGTGTGTTTGTTTTTCAGGAGTTGGGCTTGTCCCCTTAGTTCCAGTAAAAGGAACTCTTAATGCTTCAGCAGACCAAGAGATTTTGGACAATTTTTGCTACCAACTTTGTGGGAACAGTTTGGGGAGTTTAGCCCCTTCCTGTTCCAACATGACTGCACACCAGTGCATAAAGCAAAGTCCATAAAGACATGGATGAACAAGTTTGGTGTGGAAGAACTTGACTGACCTGCACAGAGTCCAGACCTCAACCCGATAGAACACCTTTGGGATGAATTAGAGCGGAGACTGCGAGCCAGGCCTTCTCGTCCAACATCAGTGTCTGACCTCACAAATGCACTTCTAGAAGAATGGTCAAAAATTCCCATAAACACTCCTAAACCTTGTGGAAAGCCTTCCCAGAAGAGCTGAAGCTGTTATAGCTGCAAAGGATGGGCTGACATCATATTAAACCCTATGGATTAAGAGTGGGATCTCACCCAATTTCATATGCGTGTGAAGGTAGATGAGCAAATACTTTTGGCAATATAGTGTATATAAACACATGTTGGTACATCTTATGCTGCCTTCTAGACAACATCTTTGTCCACGAGTTTCAATGTTCTGTATGTCTTACCACAGAATGGCAGCATAATCAGAGGGTGCTAGACTGACCATGTGAAGTTGTTTGTTGCAGATATGTTGAGCTGAATTGTTTTTACTGTTGCCAGATTTTGAATAAAGCAGTATTCCTTTCACTCAGAATGGCCCCTTCATAATTTTACACTCTTTTAAATCTGCAAAGTACATTTTATATTCAATTTTGATGTGAACTCAGAATTTTGGTTTTCTATTTTTACCTTTTGCGTGAAGTTTTCATTGGAAATTTAAATTGGTGTTTTCAAATTCTTCCATGTTTCAACCTTTAATTAGACTTCATTGAGCTGTGGGATTAAAACCAACATCCATTATTGTACTACCATTTTTTAGCTTACTATAACTTCACTGTCATCATAAATCAAGCTTTAATTACAAGATATGACACATCATTTGAGACACAAGTTAACCTGTTCTGCTGTTAGTAAACAACCATGTGAGAAAATAGAAGTATCTGGAAGTTAGCCTACTCTTTGTTTACAGCATTCTTTTAGCATTTCTTGTTGTCAGCATTTTTAACTTTTAGAAGCTATTGGCAGTGAAAACAAGAGGATGCTGTAATTTTATATTATTTTTATTTTGTCATTCATAGCTCATTGAAACAAGCAGTCTTAGTGCAGACACTAACCTGTCAATCAATACCACAATTGTTTTAGTTTATAAGTTTAGTTTTAAATCTCAAGACTGAGGGAAAACTGATTGTATGGATTGTACTATCAGTGTATGCTCACTGATTATTCTCCATTATCAAGTGCAGAATGTTATTTTTTGAGATTTGTAAAGTAAAAATGCTTAGATTGAGATGTAAACTTTAATTTATATTAATGTGTTTGAGAAACTGTCTAATACGTGGAATAAAGAACTGGAATTGTGCATAACTAAACTAACACTGAGTCAGTGGGTTGCACGACTTGTGTGCTGCCTTTCCTTCCAATGAAACCACATATATGTCACATGTGTCTCCTCAGCTCATTATTACAGCTGCTCTGTACAGTGAAACAAAGACGATGAAGCTGTTCAGAGCAGGTAAGAAAACTAAATTAATATTTGATTGATTTCATTTGATTAATGTTGACTTTGTTACCATCACTATTAAGAAATTGGCAGTAATCAAGAATTGATTTATCTATTTTTATATTTTCAAAAGATTAATTAATTCTTATGCTTTTTATGTATCCACAGTTTTTTACCAAAGGGATACAGCCTGTGTGTCTGTTCTGAAGAACAAATGCCTGCAGTATAAAGGTAAGAACTGTTTGTAAGTTCATGCAAGATTAATGTGAATATGTTTAGGAGAAAATACACTAATAAATGTGAGTATATTTATGAGTGCACATCACACTTTTACCTAATAGAAAATGATTGGAATAAGTGGAACAAGCATCTAGAAAAGATTGGTTACATTTGAGTATGTTAAGAAGTGGAGAGCGCAGCTTTATTTTGAGTGCTGTCTTATAACATCTTAATTATATGAGGAGACATAAGAAACAGGAAGGAGACAGACAGATGATGAGGGTAGCGCAGATCACTGCAACTACAAAAAAACAAAAAAAACAGGAAATCTGCAAAAACAGAATGTGACTGATGTGGTTAGTGCTGCTAGAAGGGAGTTAAGCCAAGCAGTTTTGTCTGGGAGCTCTGAGGGTTTTGTATAGTCTGGATGCATTTTATTGCAATAATATTTTAACAGTTAAAATTAAGGTTAGTATATTTTATTAGCTGTTATATATGAAAAAATCATGTCCTGCCGACATTTAGGGGAGAAAATGTACACAGGACAAAATGTGTTGGTTTTGGAGCATTGTTGCTTCCCATGGGGCGCAATAACAGCATTTTCAACAACAAAAACAAACTATTTAGACCTGGAGTTTCTGATATGGACAAATCCAGAGTTCAGGGCTGTATTGCGTTTAGGCCACTCCCTTTAAAACAAGCCTTTACCTTCAGCACAATTAATGAGGCTTTACGGTCATCATTCTATAAAAGGTCTGAAGGAAACAGCATTAGTCCCTTTAGCTCTCCTAAACAGAGGATCTGAAAACATTTCAGTTAAACTCAAAATTTAAGATATGATTCAGAGCATAAGGAGGTAAACTACAAACTAGCACAGCTTTGAAAATGTCCTTTAGTTTAAAAAGACACACAGGATGATGCTGTTCTGAAATAAAATCAATCCCAACATACTAGTGTGAAAATGACAATAATATCTGAGAATGAAATGAGAATGAATTATTTATTCTATAATGCAGTATTTATATATTTATTATATTTAATATTGGCCTCAGGCAACATTTCAGTGTTTTACTCCATATTTTACATCACCCATGTGAAATTTTGTGGCTACAACAAGTGGTGAGACAGGTTCTTCATGGTAGCGGATATTGCGCAATAGAACAGCTCTTCACTTCAAAGTCTGAATGGTGGGCAGAGCTGAGAGACGCCTCTGTTTTGGTCAAACTCCTCCCGCTGCGCAGATTAATGAGGATGTATGCATTATTGTTTTTGGTGAACTATTCTCAGTCCAGCAGTGACACTGAGGTGTTTAAAAACTCCAGCAGCACTGCTGTGTCTGATCCACTCAGACCAGTGCAACACACACAAATACACCACCACCACATTAGTGCCACAGAAGACTGAGTGAAATTGCATTTCATTTAAGAAATTAAATAGTGCCAAATTATTAATTTTAATAAGACATAAATATCATAAATAAGACATCAACTGTAATGTTTAAATTCTCAAAAATGTGGTAGCATACATTATGATTTTATGGAACAAATCAGTATAAAAGCTGCACAGAAATATTTTTTACAGTGCCTTCAAATATTGGCAGCCCTGGTGAACATGTGCAAAATGGCTGTAAACAATACTCTTTATTGCTTATCCTTTTGATCTTCAAAATATGAACAAAAATCTTAAATCTTATCAGAAATAAATATTTTTCTCCAATCTGTGTGTTTAACCCTTCATTTAATACTTTGTAGCCTCCCTTTGCAATGATCACAGCTCTGACTCCACCTATTTATGCTTAATGAGACTGAAGAACACATGACAACTGATCTGAGACCATTCCTCTATGCAGATTCTGAGCTCCACACTGTGGACTCTCCTCTTCAGCTCCTCCCACAGGTTTTCTAAGGGGTTTAGGTCAGGGGACTGGGGAAGGCCATGGCAGAACTTTAAATCTGTGGCCTTTGAACCATTTTTGAGTTTATTTTGAGGTGTGCTTCGGATCATTGTCCTGCTGGAAGATTAACCAGTTTAAGCTTCTGGGCTGAGGCAGTCAGGTTTTGATTTAATATCTGCTGGTACGTTGTAATTGATGGAGTTGATGGCCTGATTGATGGGTTGAGGGCCTTTGGAAGAAAATCAGCCCCACAACAACAGGGGTCCATTACCATACCTCACAGTGGGGATGAGGTACTTTTCTGCATGGCTATCTTTGTGTCTGTATCACTTGAACCATCCTCCTCATTTTGCATGCAGTCAGTATAGCCATACATCCTTCCTGACAGATTCTTAACATCTCCATGTTGCTTATTAATTATTGCCCTGATAGTGAATATGGGCATTTTCAGCTGTTTAGCGTTTCTTGCAGCTGTTTCCTGATTTATGCAGCTCAACATCCTTTTCTCACACCTTATACTATATTGATTGGAATTTATCTTAATGATGGATAAAATGGGACTTTACCCATGTGCCACCTCATATTTATACTCTAGTGAAACAGGAAACCATGGCTTACCTAATCAATCAGGTGTAAACATAAAACATGAACAGAAATATTTTCTAACAGTACCAACAAATGATTTATTTCATGATAAGATTTAGTTTGTTTTCTTTCAATCACTGTACTACAACTAAAGGTTAGATTTTTGTCAGTATTTTGATAGCAATGAAGAATGTTTTTAAGAGCCTGTTTTGCTCATGTTTGCCAGATGTGCCAATATATGTGGAGGCCACTGTAGAATGATAAATTAAAGGCTAAAAACTTTCACTAATAAAATATAGTTATTATATTTTGTTCAAATTTATAAGTAGTATAGTAGTATAGTATAGTAAGTGGTCAACACAGCAAAACCGTCAAGCTCTGATTCATCTGTCCACACAGTTGTTATTAATGTTAAATGTTTTAACAGTCCTCCTATTGTTTATTTAGTTTTTCAGCAAGGTTTTCAGAGTTGAGCTACCACCGCCTTGGCAGGAGAGCCGGATAAAAACCTTAAAGGAGATTTTACAAAAGGCAAGAAATTAATTTGATCTTCTGCTCAAGTGACTCAGTGTTTCTGACACTTACAAACTTAGGTGGCTATAAAAAGTGTCTGATTTATGTCCAAGATGAGTTGTAGATGTCTAGTTATGGGGACAAAGGGCCAGTGCACCTTACGTGATAAGCAGGACCTTTATGGTGCTGCATCCTCACACTTTAGTTAATGTTATGGTAAGTAACTCGTATTTAACTTTGCGCGTTTAATATGTTACAAATGTAAGAAAGAGCAGGTATAGTTCAGCATTTAATGCTTATAAAATGATGGCAAGTACCACAAACTACTTCAGTAAATACATACATACCTGATAAAGAAGTACAGAGTAATATAGAGTAAATACCTTTATCTAGTACATTAGATGATTCCATATTAATTGATACATTTATAAGTAAGGCCTTGGTAATACATACTATGTACTTTGTATCTGACCAGCAAAAAATACTTGACATTAGATACTAGATGCTTGTTGTACCATAAAAGAAAGTGTTTTTTTTGTTACTTTTGTTAGACAATCCATTAATTCTACATATATTCGAATTCTGAGTTATGACACACCTTCTAATTCACATTTATTAGCCACAACTGAGTCGTTTGTCTTTGTTATTTAAAAATAATTAATTTAGTTGTATTGGTTAGTAATTGGGAGAAGTTACCAATGTATATTTAGGTCAGGAAAAATAGTATTTGTTGACAAAACTGTGTTGTAAGAATGAGACGGTGCTCATTTTAAATGTCAACATGCTTTTCATCATTATTTATTCTTAAACTCTTAAATATTTTGACACCAGTTTGGTGATAATTGGGCAAAAATCAGTAGCAGTAGCTCATACTTTTTTCCCCACATTTTGCTAAATGTCTAAAAATGTGCTTTGGAGCTAAAAATGTATGCAAAGTAGTTAAGACGATTTTATAGGCAAATTAATTAAGTGCAGAAAAGCTTGTTCTTGTCTATATAACTCTATAATAATTTGTAGTTAATAATTAATAACTTAGTTGCACTTCTAGTTGCATGCATATAGTCAGTTGTATACTCATTTTTATAAATTATTTGTACACAAAGTGGAGAGAGGAGCTGCCGAGTGCCTATCCTCTGTTGAGTCACTCACTAAAGAGTTCCAAATTGCCTCTGGAAGCAACATCAGCAAAAGAACTGCGAGTCAGGAGCTTCACAAAATGCACAGTGCCAAAAGGGCGAGGTGGAGTGGTGTAAAGCACACCACAACTCTGAAGCAGTGGAAACGTGTTCTGAGGAGTGATGAATCACACTTCTCTTTCTGGCAGTCTGATGGATGAGTCTGGGTTTGGCAAATGCCAGGAGAACATTACCTGCCTGACTGCATTGTGCCAGCTGTAAAGTTTGGTGGGGTTGTTTTTCAGGGGTTGGCCTAGAACCCTTAGCTCCATTTTGAAATCAGATGAATCTTTTTGAATCACCCTGTAGTTTATGTTTCAAATGGCTTTTATTGTTACTGAGTTTGAACGAATTTGTAAAAAAAATAAAATAAATAAGAGCACTGTATTGCTTGCGGCTGTTGCAGCCACAGCAAACAAATGGTCTTGTTAATATTTTGGATATTACTGTTCCCTAAAATGCTACACACACTACAACCCCTTTTCCAAAAAAGTTGGGACGCTCTAAATAGAATGTAAATAAAACCAGAATGAAATGATGTGCAAATCATTTAAACCCTATAATTAAAAAAAATTGTACAAAGACAACATATCAAAGGTTTCAAAAAAGTTGGTACAGGACAAGTTTACCACTGTGCTGCATCGCCTCTTCCTTTAACAACACTCTGTACCCATTTGGGAACTGAAGAGACAAATTGGTGTAGTTTTGAAAGATAAATTTTTCTCATTCTTGTTTGACATTTCATTGTCTGCTTTGTGCCATTTTTCATTTCATAATGCGGCAATAGTTTTCACTATGTGAGAGGTCTGGACTGCAGGCAGGTCAGTTTAGCACCCAGTTTAGATCAGTTTTGACTCTTTTACTACAGAGCAATGCTGTTGTAATACATGCAGACTGTGGTTTAACATTATCTTGCTGAAATAAGCAAGGCATTCCTTGAAAAAGACATCATCTGGATGGCAGCATATGTTCCTCCAAAACCTGTATATGTTGCTCAGCGTTAATGGTGCTTTCACAGATGTGCAAGCCACTCATGCCGTGTGCACTAACACACCCCCGTGCCATCACGGATGCTGGCTTTTGAACTGTGCACTGATAACAAGCCGGATGGTCCCTCTCCTCTTTAGCCCAGAGGATGCAGTGTCCATGATTTCCAAAAAGAATTTTGATTCGTTGAACCACTTTACCCCTTCACCTTAGTCCATCTCAAATGAACTTGGGCCCAGAGAAGTCATTAACGTTTATGGATCCTGTTTATATATGGTTTTTTAATTGCATGGTTGAGTTTTAACTTGCATTTGTGGATGCTGTGATGAACAGACAGTGGTTTTCAGAAGTGTTTCTGAGCCCATGTAGTGATTTCCTCTGCAAAATCATGTCTGTTTTTAGTGCAGTGCTGCCTGAGGGCCCGAAGATCGCAGCCAGCCAATGTTGATTTTCAGCTTTGTCCGTTGCATACAGAGATTTCTCTGGATTCTCTGAATCTTTTTATGATATTATGTACTGTAGATGACGAAATCCCTAAATTCTTTGCTATTTTACTTTCAGACTTGTTATTCTTGAATTGTTGCACTATTTGATCGTGCAGTCTTTCACAGAGTGGTGAACCCCTCCCTATCTTGACTTCTGAAAGACTAAGCCTCTCCGTGATGCTCTTTTTATAGCCAGTTATGTCACTGACCTGTTGCCATTCAACTTAATTAGTTAATTTGTTTTTTAGCATTACACAACTTTAACAGTCTTTTGTTGCCCCTGCTGCAGCTTTTTGGAAACGTGTTCCTGGCAATAAATGTTCTGTTCTGTGCTTGTTTCTCTGTTTCTGTAGATAAACTCCATTTTCACAGATCTTTTGGTTTATGCAAACTCTTCACTTGGGTCCTCTGACTGCAAGTACCAGTATGGAAACTGCAGAAAAACTCGTCCTGTCTGCCGCAACCAAGATGCAGGAGTTCTGGCGCCTGTGCTTAGTGTCTGACTGGTTAAGTGCCTCCCAAGACTCAAAGGTCAACATCCATGAGGTTCTAGAAGACACACTGTCTCATATCACAGCTGAGACTGTGAGAGCTGTGACTGACTGTTTGCTGAGCATCTGCAGAGAGGAAACATCAGAGGATCTCCAGGAGTTCAGTTCAGATGCACCTCTGTGTAACTTCCTCAAAGCTGTAGCTGACAGCATTAAGGCAGAGAGTTCCCCCAAAGCAGCCACACCAACAGAGTCCAGTAGTGCAACTGGATCCAACATGGTTGAAGAACCTCCTTCTGCTGTACCTCCACAGTCTGATGTGGCTGAAAAAAATGACGACTCAAGTGGTGTCCCATCTGATGATGATCTTTTTGAATCTTTTATTTCCCTTCACATGAGGTTTTCGCCTTGGCCACATCTGGATTCCAGGAACACCTTAAAAAGTAATGTGAACCTCACTGCAACATTAACGGGGGAGCTGCAGAGAACCATTAGTACACCTGCTGTCTTACAAGGACAGGACAGGAAAATAGACAGCGCAGATCAAGAGGAACCGGAAACTGTAAAGAGCATTACTTCTCAGCCACTAGAATTGAGGGGGCCTCGGCCGTGCCACTCCAGAGAAGAGAGCAGCCCAGTTGCCGTCGCATCTGATGATGAACCTCCCCATCAATTGGCTAATTCACTTGATGGTATGACTCTTCATATTGCTAGGAGTGAACCAGCGTCCTGGCAAAGTCAAGCTCACATAGCAACGGGCGATAGATCTTCACCACCTGATCTGTGGATGATTCGGCCACCTTCAGATACAGAGACTAATGCTGTGGAGACCCCAGGCCAGATAAGTTTAACTGGACAGTCCTTTAAGACAAGCTAGGAACCTAAGGCAGGTGTTTCTCCCCATTGTTGTGGTGATATGCAGAGTTATAGAAAAGGAAAACCTGACTGTGAGAGGATCTTGGAAACAATCCTCTCTAACTGCATCAGTGAGGATGATGTCTCAGCTTTCCAGGTTGAGGCCTCAAAGCTGGTCAGCAGTATCCTGATGAATGAGGCCTCAGAGATGGTCATTTCCAATGCAACCAAGCATCCAAGTATAGATTTGAGGACAACCCCTGTAATATCTTCTAGTGTGGAAAGCTGCACATCAGCTGCATCCTCAGCAGTAGTAAACCTGCTGACCTTCAAGTTAAAGAACTATTCTGATGAGGTGTTTAAGTTAGCTGACCCCTCTGTTAAGCCAGCCTTGTACACATATCTGCTCAAGCCGGTCTCTAAACTGATCCTGGACTCCACCAAAGCTAAACTCAGGAAGATTTTAGTGATGAACCTCCTCATTATATGTTTTAAGGTATGAATCATTTCATTCATATTTTCTTATTGGCTGTTTTCTATGTTTTTTATGACTGATGGAAAACCACTGATTTCCACTTTGATGATTCTTCTTATTAAAAGTGTAGCTGATCATTCATTGATTTCACCTCCACATCTTTTAGAACAGTTGAAACGCAACTTTTATCTTCTCTTTACAAAAGCAGAAAAACAGGGAGGAACCAATGACTGTCCTTTCCGAGAAGCAGACTGAGGAGAATCCTGTTCCAACTGGTAAAGACCTGGGTTTCTATATTTTAATTATTTTATACGTGTTATAAACAAGTAATGATGAAATGCCTTAATTCTGAACTTCTGAATGTAGCAAAAATCAATTAATTTAAAATGATCATGTCAGTTGAGACATTTTTTTTATTTAACATGACAGAAAAAACACACAGTAACACCTGTCACACAATGAGACACCAGTGACCTACATACGACAAAAAATCTTCCAAATCTAATTAAGAAAGTGAAACTAAATTATTACATTTGGCATAAAATCAAAGGTTATCATTGATACTTAATGAAAACACTAAGTAAAAGACATACGTCATAAACAACAATTTAAAAATAAATAACTTTGTTAGAAAACTGCTAAACCGTCCAACAAAGTACATTGTCTAAACTGCACTTCTCCACTACTATTTTATGTCATGCTATGTTACAAGATTATGATTAAGAAGAGTAAAGTGGAACAGTCCCCATTTTTCATTTTATGGTTAGATCAATTTCAAATCTTCATGTTTTAAAATAAAATCTTGGCAAAAAATTGTTTTCAGAGAATTAAATGTATATCTAATCTCAAACAAGTTATATACAAGTTTCAGTCAGGTTTTCGTTCTGAGTACTGAGACAGCTTTGGTTCATGTTGTGAATGACCTTAGGCTCAGTGCTGATGCACAAAATCCTTCTATTCTGGTCTTATTGGATCTTTTGAGTGCAACTTTTGATGCTGTTGACCACAAGATTCTAATACATCTTGAATATTGGGTCACCTCTCAGGTACAGTTTTAGAATGATTTAAATCATATTTAGGTAATAGACAATTCATGGTTTCAATGAGAAATCATTCATCGAAAAAAAAAAATATTTTTCTGATAATCAAGGATCTGTAGATAGCTAATGTTGCAAAATTCTCTACAATTAAATCACAAAAAATGGATAATACAAATCTTTGGTACTAAAATTCAGAGAAAATGCTTTATGAGAAACTTGGTTCTGTAGTTATATATACCATGCATTTGTTACAAGCAGACTTGTTTACTGTAATGATCTTCTTACTGGACTTTCTAAGAAAACAACACATCCCTTACAACTCATACAAAATGCGGCAGTACAGATCCTAACAAAAACAAAACAGAGGGCTCATATCTTATGTTCAGCTCTCTTCTACCTTTCACTTAAATCATTCATTCCCTTCATTTTTTTTTGTCAGTGTCTCTGGTATAGCCATGTTACTTTCTGCAAGCATTCTGCTCTGCACTCAAGATCAGCATCCCTAAAGAGATCAACTAAAAGCTTCATATGAAAAGATTATTGTAGTTAAAATTGCAGAAAAACACATTTTTTACCTTAAAATAGGGCCCTCAGACATGTCTGAGGGGACATGCACTTCCACTTGGCATTTTATATGATTGTTTTAAAAACCAGTATTGCTAAATTGATTATTCAAGAAGGTGTAATCATTAAAATAACCTATTGTTTTATTTTAAAATATAAAAAATGTAACCCTAATGTGTTTTTCAAGTGTGATTTATCTGTAAAGGCTAGGGACACAAAAAAATTACGTTTCTGTAGAATGACCCTAGTATATAATGAGCCTGAAATTTTAAAAGGTTAACTGTATATATACATACATATGTTAATAAGACAGTATGAAACTTTTGAAATATTTTGTTGTTTATTTTATTATATATTGGATTGTCTCCTACACTGAAGAATGTCAGAGAGTCAACCAGAGCTGAGGACTGTACAGATGCTCTGGGTGCAACAGAATCTGCTGGAAAAAACAACCCAGCTGGTCAGTATCAGCAAAATGCTACATCAGTCATTTTCAGTACTGATTTATAGTTTAGATCAGTGTTTCTCTGTATAGTTTTCTCTGCTCTAACACACTTTCAGCTCAAGAAGGGACTGATTAGCTAATGATATGATTCAGATCTGTTAGAGCAGGAAAGCACAGAAGTGTGCAGTGGTTGGTTGGTCTCTAGAACTGGATTTGGGAAACACTGCTTAGCATAATTCATTAAAGCTGAGATTTAAAACAGAATCTAAATATCTCTCATTCTTTTCTCTGACTTAAAGGCCCAAAACCCAAGAAGAAGAATCGAGTCAGTGCCTTCTTCAGACGAGCGTGGCAGAGAGTCAAACTGACCTGCATCTGTTGCTGCTACACCAAGATTCACCCTGCTGATTAATTTTCCCCATTCTGAAATTTTTATTTCTCCTTTCCTTCCATCACTCTTTCCCTTAAATTATACAGTTTGTTCATTATAATCAGTTTTATAACTCATACAGTAAGAATGGGTGCTGATCAAACAGTATATGGTTCCTCCTTCACTCTTCCCTCAGCCTTCACTCTGAGAATTGAACGTTTTATCGCAGTAACAGTGATACAGTTTTGTTTATTTGGCTCTGTGATCCAGAACACTGAATGAAATGAAATGATGATGATGAAGAGCAGAATGTCGGCTTTAATTTGAGGGTATTTACATCTATACTGGTTGAAGCACATTTACAGCTCTTCTAAAGCTGGTAGTCTGCACTTTAACCTCATAGTCATGGTTTTATTCACTATGTCATTTCTTACGGAGTGCAGTGTATTTACAGCTGATCTCAGGCCTTTATATGAGCTGAGCTCCATCCTTATAGATGTTGAGCTCCTCATATAACAGGAACTTTGTTCTGCAGTTCATCTAAAGATGTTCATAGACTACAATGTAAAAATATTTATCCATAATTGCAGTTTGCTTCAGTATCACTCAGTACTGTCTGTCTTGTGGTGGAGCTCCTGTTGTAGATGACTGCATATTGGAATTAAGAGGAACAGATGATTTATGATCACTCCAATTAAAATAACTTCCAAAGAAATTTCCTTAATAACACACTGTAAAGCTGAGGAGTAATATAGTTTAGCTTATTTGAGGAACCAAATAAACAGCACAGTTAACCTTTGGCCTTTTATTAAATTATCTACAGGTTTTGTTAAATCACCTACACTTTTTATCATTTTCCCTTTTCACCTGCTTTTTCCTTTCTCTTTATAGCTCCTTCTGAAATAATCTTTACCAGCTTTCTTTTATTCACACCAAACCCCTTTACTTTTCTTATAAATAAACTTTTTGCAAATATTATTTGCTGTATGTTCATTGAAAGTACTGTCCAGTTGGAAAAATCACATAGACCTTTTTTTAATGTTATGACCAAACTTCATAGTCTGGAGCTACATACAAAACTATAACCTGTAGTTCTGGAAACAAACTTCCTGAATTAAATATTTCAGTTATATTATGAAATATGATAAAGTTGTTTATTTGATGTCATCCAGGGGGAAATGTGTTGGCCTGTCTGGTTACATAAAGACAATAGTATATTGCCAATCAATACATTTTGCAAATGTGTCATATGGCATGACATGAGGTTATAGTCTATTGTTCACAGACAGAAGTAAAACAATCAAAACAATATTAAAATTGTTCACACATTATCTAGGAACCTGGGTTAAAGTAAACCCAACAACCAATTATAAAGATCCAATTAAACTGATTAAACTTACTTTTAACAATAACCGCTAATCCTTTAACAC